GCATATTTTCTATATTAAAGTAGAACAGATATATTTTGCATGTTTACAACATGATTTATATGAAAGAAAATGAAAACGAAATTTTACGTAAAAGAGAGATCTCTTAGTTTCCTTCCAGCCCTAAAATTCTAAATTAGAGCTCTAAGAATAATATTTTTTAAAGGTCTGATTTGTGGTAGTTAAAGTTTAAGTTCACAAGCTCAGTAATTTATACAGCTCTTCTACTTAATACAGTTTTCATTCCACATTCTTCACACCAGTCTTTGAAACTGCTGCCCCCTTGTGGCTCATAGTGACAATTACATAGTTTAAATTACAACTAATCCTAATACAAAGTTTAACTTTTCCTGCAGATAACCTGTTCCTCAGTAGTAACAGCAAAATGGTACCAATTTAAGAAAATGAATTTAACTGTATACTGCATCAAAGAAAAGGTTGTCTCCAAACAGTGTTAGATTTTTATGTCTTTTTTTTTTCTTATAGCAATATGTTGAGGGTGACTTCTTTTGTTGATCTAAATTGTTTCTCTCATCTCAGACTCAACACAGGAGTCATTGTCTTTAGGAAACCTCTCTCGACAGCGTGAATTGGGCTCGGAGCCTCTTCTCCCCGTCCCGTAATTCTCTGTTCACACCATTCTCTTAACTGTCCGTGTCTGTACCTAGGGTTTCTGATAGAACCTTGCTTGTTACGTCTAATAGATGTTTGCTGAATTGGATCTTCTACCCTTTGACTTGTTTTGACAAAAGTCAAAAAGTCAAGCCAGGTGGTTTCTGACTTGTCTCTAATTATTACCTCGATCTCACAGTACCTTGACTTCTAGCTTCTGGAGACTCCCTGGCCCCGTCCATTGACAGATCTGGCCCTGGGCTTTTGGTCTGAATCTTTCTTGGTTCTTTCCATTCAAGCTTCCAGCAAATGCATATAAACTGCCGGTGGTGGACAAAATATTGTATGTTCTGCTATTTCTCGTTTGGAAATTGCAAGTTTAGATCTGAGAAATTATAGAAAGTGTATGGACTTTATATACGAGTACCATCCTTTCATTTTATAGTTCCATTTACAGTTTCATTTATAGTTTATAGTTTATATCAGATCCTGGAAATTAAATAATTTATCCAAGAGGATAAGTTAAGGATATAAATATATTCTTTCAAATGAACCAATTCCTTTAATATCCTTTTCTTTTAAAATATTGGTGGTTATTGACATCTGTTATGGGTTGAATTGTGTTCCTCCCAAATTCATATGTTGAAGTTCTAGCCTTTGGTACCTCAGAATGTGACTGTATTTGGAGATAGGGCCTTTAAAGAAGTAATGAAGAAAAAATGAGGTCTAATGGGTGGACCCTAATCTAGTATGATGGTGTCCTCATGAGAAGAGGAGATTACAACACAGACATATATGGAGTGAAGATCACGAGGAGGCACTGGAAGAAGATGACCACTTACAAGCCCAGGAGGTGCTCAGGAGAATCTAATCCTGCCATCACCTTAATCTTGAACTTCTATCCTTCAGAACTGTGAGGAAATTAATTTTTGTTGTTTATGTCACCCAGTCTGTGGTAGCTTTATGGCAGCCCTCGCAAACTAATATAGAATTCCAAATTATTTTTGTTTTAATTATCATTCTCAGGGAGTATATATTTTATGAAAGGGAAGAATCTCTCATTTTTCTCAGTGTCTTCCCTGTATAGTTCTGGTAACTGTCAAATCAGATATAAAATCAGTTTTGTTCACCTGCTCCTGGTTCCTGTGCTTTGCTGTTCCATTTTGGTAGTTGGGTCGTGGCATTTGTCTGATGCCATATTCTGTCCCTGACTGTAGACTTACAGGGAGGTTGTTCATCTAATGGAGAATTTTACTAGAATTATCTTCATTTTTAATTAGCTTCATTGAGTTGTTTCCTTTTTAAAAGTCATACTAACAATGTAAGCAAAATGTAGGATCTGAGCTTATATGACATATATGTGTCCCCTAATTCACCCAGGACTGAAGTATTAGTCTAGCAGACTAGTATATTGCTTTCTGAAATTGGCAGAATAGCTTAAATAATATCCTAGTGGCCTAAATTTATTACTGGTTACAAAGTTTTCTAATGTAAAACTGGGAAGTAAAATAGGCTTACTAATATATCATTCAGTTTTTATTTGCTTTCTGGGAGCATCCTTATAATCCCATGAGATAAATATTCTCAGTTATTATTCCACAAGTAAGCAATTTTCTTCTTCATTCGTATACTGCCTTTTGGTATATGGATATTGTCAAATTTTTAAAAGTTTTTTGGTTGGTAAAACTACTCTTAAATGATACACTCATCCATCTTGGGTTTTCTGGACTTTCATAGCATATTTTAGCTCTTAAATTTACAACCCTTTTGCTTAAAACAATTTAGCGTTTAAATTTACGAATCCTCTTTTTGAGCCGACCAAGCTGTACAGTGTCTGAATAATGTGTTCTTGGTAAGGGTCAGAATGGATTCTTGTAAAGAACGTGAGCAGCAAGTCCTTGACCTGATCACGGTGATTTCATATCGAAATTTG